TATTCACTTGGGAGAATGATATCTAGGGAAAATGAATTTTCTATAGACCCCAAATAAATATGAAAAAATAACATGGGTATCTTGGTCAAGAAGAACCAAAATCTCATTGACTGACTTTCCCTCCACTCAAAATCCAAAAAACGAATAGGTCCTTAGGATTGCAAAGTGGGCCATGTTAGGTACTTAAGAGTCATTTAAACCCACTAATGAAAGTACAAGATAGTTCTTATTCAGATAATTCAAATATCTAATAGGTCGAATTTGGATATCTTATTCATATTGAATAGTTAATCGGATTCGAATTTAGATATGACCTGATTCGATTTGATAATATCCAAATTCAATAGATTATTTAATTCTTATATGTAATATATAAAATTTTTAAATGTTTTATATAATTTATATATAATAATTAAATTATATAAATAATTTATATATTTATATACTTTATATAAATAAAATGTTTATTTTATATTTTATTAATTACCTAAAATAATTAATTAGACAAAATCGAATCAAATAGAATATTCAAATATTTAATCGGATTCGAATTCAAATATTAATTTTCAATATCTGCCTGATATTGAATCGAAATCAGATATCAAATTTTTTAATCGGATTCAAATTTGGATATTACCTAATCAAATAGAATATTCAAATATTTAATCGGATTCGAATTCGAATATTAATTTTCAATATCTGCTTGATATTGAATCGAAATCGGATATCAAATTTTTTAATCGGATTCAAATTCGGATATTGCCTGATCCAATTCGAATTCGATCCATTTACACCCTTAACCCAAATAGGCCCTCTATCGATAAACAGTTTAAGCTCAGTTTGGAAGGAGTACATATGCAAATATGTAAAGTGCAAAACCTTGTTCTTTGTATGTATTTGTACTATACAGATTTGTCTTTATACTCCTCCCAAACCGAGCCTTAGGTATTGTTTCATATTCCCATTAATCTTCTTCTTCTCTCTTCCTCTCATTCTCTTTTTTTTAATGTTCCTACCATTTCCTTTCACATAAGTTCTCCCTCTCCCTCTCTCTCTCTCTCCTTTTCCTTCTTTTTTTTCTTTCCCGTTGCATCATACCATTTTACCAATGGATTCCTCCTCCATAACCAAATTTTTAATTCCCAAAATGCGAGATGAATTGAAATGTTGGCGTATGAATTGAACCGTTGGTGATTTGTGAGATGAGTGAACATGAAGAAATAAGGAATGAATTGGGAGTAGGGGTGTAAATGGGACTGGATTTGGTCCAATCCGATCCAGTCCAATGTGAGGTGCAATCTAATCCAATGAATATTTTAGATCATTTTGGACCGGTTCAATTCGATGCTTGGACTGTCCAATTTGCTCAAATTTCTTTTAATTTAGATCAGTTCTAATCCAAACCCGGTCCATCGATACTTATATTCTTATTTCCTTTCAATGGACGAGATATTGGCTCAATCCAACCCAATCCATATACATTTTGCAAGGTGGACATGTATGTAGGGTCCATGCGTGGACATGTATGTGGGGCCCATATACATTTTGCAAGGTGGGGCCCACATACCATTAGTGGACATGAATGTAGGGTCCATGTGTGGACATGTATGTGGGGCTCACATACATTTTACAAGGTGGGCCCCACATGCCATTGGTTGATATGCATATGGGTCCATGTTTGGGCATGTATGTGGGGCCCACATACATTTTATAAGGTGGGTCCTGCATAATACCTAATGTGGGCCCACATACATTTTTCAAGGTAGGTCCCACTTACACATTCAAATAGTTTTTGTGGAAAAATAACCCATTTTCTCCAAATGTATTTATCGTACCACACGTTCGAACAGATGTCCTTATCTTTGTAAAAGCTTCATTTGAAACTTCTTGAAAAAGCCCAAATTCGGGCTTCTAGCGTCTTTTATGGGCTGAAGCTTTTCTCAAATAGATGTCCTTATCTTTGGGAAATGCTCAATGACAAAAATGGAATCTCTTCAAGAACAATTTAGGGCTTTTTTGCAGGTGGTCTCGACAAGAAATTAACTACCAAAACTCAGCTAGCAGTGATACTCACAGAAGTGTAAGACAGAGTATCTTGATGGCATTGGGAGTCAGCTATTCATTTCACCTCCCGTAGTAAAGTTGCTGATTGGAATTTCTTAATTGACAAGATGAAAGGGAAATTGCAAGGATGGCAATCAAACCTACTCTCTCAAGCGGGCCAAACAGTGTTGGTTAAAACCACGCTAGAGGCAATGCCCATGTATCTATCACTTGCAAACAAAACTCCCTTTGTGATATCCCCCCTTCCGTATGAAACCCAAATTCCTTTTGTTATATCCCCTTTCTTTCTAGAATCCTTCCGGTGCATATTGTTGATTAATATTATTGTATTTCTGGAATCCTTTCTTTCTTCCCTAACTCTTGCGGGATCCAATGGATGAGTGAGATTAGGGATAGCAATTTCTCTTATTTCCCCGATTCTCGTGGGATCCGTATCTAATGGGGCGGGGATGGGGGTGATTTTTCCCCATGAGGACAGGGATGGAGAAATTTCCATCCCCATTGGCAAGGATGGGGCGGGGACAGGGAGAGCACTTCTCACCCTGTGGGATCTCCGCTAATATATGTATATATGTACGCATACATTTATACATGTATATATACATTCGTCTATATATTAATATTTTTAAAAATATGTTTGAATCTTTTCTAATATGATTGTAATTTTTAATTATTTTATTTTTATTTTTTAAATAAAATAAAAATAAAAACAAAATGGTTGACATTATAAAAAATCACGGGGAGTGGGGATCCCCATGGGGGCATGGATGGGGATAAGATTGTCCTGTTAGCGGGGACGGGGATGGGGATGGTGAGAGGCTCCCAGTCCCCGCCATGCCCCGTTGCCATTCCTAAGTGAGATCCTGACTCTTACGAGATCCACCCAACTAGGGGTGGATTCGAACTGAGCCAAGCCGAATAGTACCAGGCTCAAGCTCGACTTGAGACTATTCTACAAGGCTCGAGCTCGAGCTCAATTCGAGCCAGAACCTTGAGCTCGAGCTCAACTCGAGTCAAAAGTTCATAAGATCGAGCCCGACTTGGCTCAAGTACGATTTTGAGAAAAAATATTTTATAAAAATAAAAATTATATATAAAAAATTTAATTTTAAATTTAAAAATTTAAGAATTATAATAATTAATAATTATAATATTTTTATTATATATATATATATTATTTTCTATAATTTTATTATATATATATTATATTATATATCAAATACACATATATGTATTGAGCCGGCTCGCATGCCTCACGAGCCGAGCTCTAATAGGCTTGAGCTCGGTTGAAACCGAGCCGAGTCAAGCCGAGCTTTTCACGAATCGAGCTCGAACAACTCGTGAAAAGCTCGGTTCGTTGCCACCCCTACAGCCAGCCTACTTGCAAGACTCCTCTCTCCTAAATTCACCCACGAGATCGACCACCACTCACCTACGAGATCCATCCACAATCCCCTTTTGTGATACTCTCTTTGTGTGATTGTAGAATGATGGGCTGATTTATCCTGGCTCATTATTTTTTTGGGATTGAACAAAACTTCAAGCCCATGGGTTTGGGCTTAGGCTTTCTCAAATAAGCCCGAGCTGAACCCAAGCTCGGCCAAATATCATTACATATAATAAAAACATACCATTAATTATATATAATAAATATATATATAATGTATTAAATTATTATCAAATTAATATAATTTCAGTTTATTAAATTATACTATAAATAAGACATTTTATATGCAGACAGCCAGCCGAGATTGGCTTCCATCAGGGCAAAACCTGTGCCCACACCGTTCTAACAATCTTTCCCAACCTTGCATTGGGAATATCTCCCTATGAAATAAAGCATATAAGTACAGAGATATTCTCAATACAAGGCAGTAAAGACTGCTCGAACAGACTTTGCCCTGACTGAAGCCGAAATCCCTATAAGCTATATTTGGTGAAAAATCCAGAGAACAAAATCCATTGTTAGTGAGTCATTTGACGGAATTTCGATTAAATGAATATGATGGCTGTGTAAGCTGAATTAGTTTAGTTGAATCTTCACCTAACCATCCCAAACAAACCCTGAACGATGGTGTATTTGGGATTCCCAGGTTTTCCACCAAACATAGTTTCTAAAGGTTTGGGCTATCTATGTGGGGCTCATCTAATAAAACTAGAAGGCACTATGTGAAAACCCTCCAAAACAGGCAGGTTAGTTAATGCCCAAGTTTCCAGGCCCAGGTCCAGAGAAAGCCTAAAAAAATTAAAAATTGAAGTCCAATCCATACAAATGCTTCCATTGGACATGAACTGGTCCAGGTTCAAAGCAGCAGAACCAGTTTAGCAGAATCTTCACCTTAACCCTCCCAAACAGGCCCTTAACAATAGTGCATTTGGGCTTCCCAATTTTTTCACCAATGTAGCTTTAATAGCTTCTAGGCTATCTGTGTGGGGCCCGACTCGCAAAGTCAGAGATCGCTTTGTGAAAGCCCTCCCAATGGGTAGTTAGCTGACGCCCAAGTTTCCAAGCCCCTGTCCAGAAGGGGCCTAAAAATCGAAGCCCAACCCAGCCCATGTAAATGCTTCCATTGGACATGACTGATCCAGGTTTAGATTGGGCTTGCCCAAGTCAGCCCTAATTTCAATTTTGAAATCTTTCTCTCCTGTAAAAAAATTCAACCTCACATGACGTCCCCCTTATTCAATCACAATTCACAACCCTCCTTCCAGTTCCAGCTCCAGCTCCAGAGAGAGAGAGAGAGAGAGAGTACTGAGTGACAGAGTGAGAAAGTCAAGCTGAGTAATCCAGGAGATGGATGAGGCTAACGCATTCATCACTTGGTCAGTAGCTAGAAAATTTTTTAATAAAGTAAGAAATTCCTTGAAGAGAATTCGTTATCGTCATTAGTGCTGCTAGCTATTACAAGTGGAACAGTAGACGATTAGAACTTGTGAGTTAGTACTGATTAGTGAACTTTGCATGCGGGAAGTGGAGGTTCACACAGACAGTCGTCCTAAAAACGCCTTGGCAGAGAACCTCGTCGCCGGAATCTTACAGCATAGATGGTTGTAAGCGACGTTCAGCTTCTTCAACCCTGAAATGCTACTGGGTAGCTTACCATATATCAGATTTCGAGATAAATCCAAGTATTTTAGAGTTTTCATTTTGGGGAGTTTCAAATTCTCCATATTGAACCTCAACTGATTCCTTGCAGCCCAAAAGCCGACCAAGTAATCCGTGCTGTTCAGCAACCGAACTGGGCTGCCAGAGATTTCGTTGTCAGAAAGATCAATGTAGTCGTAGAAATAAGTCTCATATGGCTTCCAATCGTCTAGCTTGAACTTGAGACCACACCTTGCGAGCTTGAGCGAGTAAATGATCGGAGACGAAGTGACCCACTTCGGTATTTGGCCTAGATGAAAATGATTGTAGGAGAGATCGAGTGACTCTATTCCTCTTACGTCCATTGCCGGAAAAGGGTCAACGAGATCATTGTGGGAGAAGTCGAGGTTGAAGATCTTGGTCAGATTGCGGAAGCTCTTCGGTACTATGCCAGAGAAACCATTCCAAGAAAGGTTGAGCGTGTCCAGTGCTTTGAAATTTCCCAGAAAATCTGGGATATTTCCACTGAGATTGTTGCGATCCAGCAGTAGAAACGCAAGTCGGGGTGCAAGAGCAGATATCGACGGCGGGATCTCACCGGAAAGTCCGTTGTTGGACAGGCTCAGGAAATAAAGATCGAAGAAAGACGAGAAGGCATCTGGGATTTTCCCATGAAAGAGATTCTGTTCAAGGTTCAGCACAGACAAGTTCTTGAGATGCCTGATTCCGTCTGGGATCTCGCCGGTGAAATAGTTACTGCCGAGGCTGAGATAAGTCAACTGGGTGAGTTTGGATATAGAACTTGGTATCGGACCAGAGAATGCATTCTTCGCGAAACTCGGACCTTGGAGTCTAGAAAGTCGGCCGATTTTCGACGGTAGTCGACCATGAAGATCACAGTTCTCGATATAGAAGAACTGGAGTCTGGGGAGCTTGAAAACCAGTTCCGGAAACGTGCCGGTGATGTTTTGGAGGTCCTTAAAGTAAATCGTCTGTAAGTATCTGACCTTCGACAGCGCCGGCGAGATCGTGCCAGTCAAATAAATCTTCGGGTCACCGCCACCGAAAAGTATTATATCGGTAACCCGATTTCCGCCCTGGCATTCTATGCCACCCCATGTACAGCAATCGGTACCAGCTTCCCACGAATTGAGCATCCCCGACGGGTCATCCGTTATGCCCGACTTGAAACCCAGTAACCCGGCTTCATCGTCGGCGTGGCATTTTGCAGCGTTGCCACGTAAGCATTGGAGCAAGAACAGGGAGAAGACAATCAGAACCACGGAAGAGCAGGAGAATGCCATTCTCTTTTACGAACTGAGAAATGAGAACTGAGAACGCGTATCCATAAATTGAGGAAAAAGTCAAGAGTTGCTGACGTGGCGTTATTAAATGTCTATATTTTCCTTGGGAATTTGATATATTTACGATAGTGGCTTTGATCCTGTGGGTGGAAATTGAGATGGAAACGCCGTTGACCATTTGACTCTTTTTAAACAATTTTTTTGACCGAGATGCCCTACTAAGGCGCCACGTGTCTAATTAAGGAAGATCAAGACCCACACTTAAATGGCCCCTTTTTCGAAAATGAATCATCCCAATTATATATTTGTTTTATATAACCTTAGAGTCCTATCCTACTGTGGCGAAGCCCCACTATCACCCTATTTCCACTTCAAATGGAAATGGACCAAAGTATTTAGGTTTCTAGGGTTTCTAACCCACGTGTATGCAATTTACGTTATTGATGGAGCCTCTCCACATGACATAAAGATCAAATCAGTCCCCTACAAGTTCCCGGCCACTGTGTATTGCGAATATCTCCGGATGATGATATCATTATTTTTGGTATTGTCATCAGAACATGTTTTTAATACATGGCAGGGATGTGTTGTGGGGGCAATCTTGTGGGAGGCTGATTTGAATTCCATGACATGTAAGCTAATTTAGGTCTTCATTTTTCTTTATATTGTGTTGTAAATAGTATTTTACCCATACTCATGATTAGATATCATTCACATAGAGTGATGGGATCTGCTCCTCACAAATGGGCGCCTCACAGGCACATCCACCATGCATTGGGATGTGCGTGTGAGGCGCCTCGTGGTAGTTTTTCAAAACAGTCAAAATTTTTCCCATTTTTGCATACTAATTATGTGTAAATATATCTTAAACCCCAATTATCAATTATTATTTAGTAATTTAATGCAAAATAAATATTGTATGCATTTTTTATAGTTCGAAATACATAGAATAAGTACTTCAATAATTATGAACCAAATAAATAAAAGGGTAAAAGACTTAACCCCCCCCCCCCCTAATGTTTCTCCTAAATACTTATAACTCCCTTGTAATTTGTGATAGGACGTAAACCTCTCATGTGAAATATGTCATTAGACAAAGAATACCCCTCTCTTAAGTATCTTCGACATCCCATTTGACATGACATCATATTTGACTTATATTTTCTCGAAAATCCACTTTTTCCCTTTAAGAAACTATAAAAATCAAATTAAACAAAAAACCTGGAAAATAAAACTTCTCAATGCCGCGAGGCAGTGCTGTATTGAGTAACATCACTATTGGGTTTGAGACGAATCAGTGGCAGAAAGATTAAAGGGACCAGCCTTCAAGGACAATGAAACCTAAACTCAACACTTCATGTTTGAATGGATAACACCATTAGAGAGGGAAAGGACTCTTTTGAAAAATGTTGATAATTAATATTTGATTTGATTCCCTTGGAGCTTGGCCTACTTAGAAATGGGGGGTTGCACAATGTCTCCCTATTTGTTCATTTGGGGCAATTTATAGACGAAAGATCAAAGAGTTTTTTTAGACGGAGTAGTTTCGGAGGTTCCCTTTGAAAATTTGAAACACATTGAAGGACAAAAGTGTCTTTTTAGTGATTCTATCAAATATAACAATAGGGGAGGTATAAGTATTTGTAGGAAAAATTAGGGAAAATCAATTTTCTTTTTGTTTCTTAGTTCCGTTTGGAAAGAGTGTAAATGCAAATATGCAAAGTGCATTCCGATCCATACAAATGCAAAGTTGGTTTAGTTTTGCATTGATAAATTTGTTTTCTTTTCAAACGATTTTTGGTTGTAATGGTTGCAAACATGAATCCCGAGATTAAAATATACCTTTTTTAACATTAATCAACTTTGAGTGCAAATGTTTACATCTTTTTCTATGTAAATGCATTAATGCCAAATACTAGCAAAACTGTACCAGAGTGCATAAATACACTTAACCGACATTTGCATTCTTCCCAAACGGAGCCTTAATGTTTTAGGAGAGTTCAATGCAAAACAGCCAATCAAGTTCTTACTTTCTCTTAGATATCTCAAGTGAGATTTTTTTTCTAATTATTCTAAATATAGCATCCCAAGTTTGTTGTTTTTCTCATTTCTTTTCCTAATGGATTTATTTTCTTTTCATTGATTTTTTGCATAGATCAAATTAATTAAGTTGTTCTCTTTGTTCTAAATTATTGAATGACCATAAATTTAATAACTAATTATATGGATGATTCTTCATATGTTTCTTTTCTTCTAAATTGGTTATATGAATTATTTTAGAAATTTGCACTTTGAAACATTAAATATAAAATATTTATAATTGTTAGTTGATTAGTTATTATTTTATTTTATGCTTAAATACTGAAACTTATTGATTATAAACTTTTATTTTATGGATATTTAAGAGAGGGGTATTCTTTGTCTAATGATTATAAACTTGGTATATTATATGGTACTTTAATCAATTTATAAATTTTAAGCTTTGAGTCTTACGCCTTGCAATGCCTCGAGGCTTATGCCTCACTTTTTTGAGCCATTACGTATTGACTATGCCTTTAGCCTTTTAAAACCTTATTGATAAACAAGAGTTTAGGTTTGTTGATCACAATAGATTGCTAGTCACATTAGCCACACATCAGGAATATTAGTGGTAATTTACATCACCCATTTTCCCAATGTGTGGCTTGGTGAACATGGCCAGCAATGTGTTGTGACTAACAGATCCCAACTCAGCAAGTAGGGATGGCAATTTCCACCCTAACGAACAGATACCCAGCCTTGTCATTGTGTTTTTTATTTTTATTTTTATTTTTCTTTTGCAAATTGGATTTTAGGTCATGGACAAGCTTTGTGATTTCACAATCTGTACATGCATGGGTAGGGTAGGGTAGGGTAGGATAGGGTATTAGGCAAAACTTGAACCACGACCTGCATTTATAGTTACTAAAATACCCCTAACGCTTATAATTAAATTGTTGTTCTAAGACATATGAACTTTATGTATTACGTGTTGAGTTCAATAATGTTTTGAATCTCATGTGAAGGCTGGGTGATGTGTTTTCTACATGTTTCAATTAAACAACTGGAAATTTGATGTTTGCTCTTATTGCTTTGCTTGTTTATTGCTTATATATAAAAAGAAGTAATAAGAAATTAGATGTGAGGAGAATTTAGATTATGAAAATTTGGTTTTAAGGAAAGTACAAGTTCAGAGGTTTAGGGAAGTGGAAAGGATCTAAAATTTACAAATCTTTCCCTGAACCCCTTATACCTATTCGCAAAGTAAGTAACAATATTTGGGAGACTGCTGACTTTAACTCGGGTTGCTCAGCTGAAGCGCAATGGACCTAATTGAGCTGGAACTTCAGTGCTTGGGTTGGGCTTAAAGGTTCACAATGGATGGCTAAAATTCTGTTTAAAGCCATCTGCCCAACGGACGTAATGAGTAATATTGAGCCCCTCTGGGGCCTTACAGAGAGATTTTCAATAGAAGTAAGCATTCATTCTAACATTGTATCTCTTTGGTTTATGGTCCTCTAAGTTAGAGAATAAAAACCTATTCACAGACTGTTAAAGAATAAATACCTATATATTCATGTATCCTTAAGATGGTATTAGAGCTTATTTGATTAATTAAGTGGTCTAGCGTTTGATCATTGCCACCCAATCAATTCCTCTGATTGAATTCAACTATTTTGAAAATCTTCAGATTTTAACCAAAGTAAAGAATCTCTAAGCTTTCACCTTAGCTAGATTTGGAGACAGACAATAACCATTTAAAGAGATTTTATTCTACGACTAGAGTTCAAGCTTAAAGCTTACAAAGATTGGTTGCTGCAGATTCCAGAAAACCATAACAAACATCCAACTACAAATGCCATAAGCCACTCCAGCTTGCCATGGAAATTAAACCACAAAAGAGATTATGAGTTTCCTACCACAGTCATGATTCCCATTTATTACTTCTTTTACTTTATCTTTCTAGTGATCGATCTTCATATTTGACAGGAAATTCAAGCATCGTTGTCTTTGCCATTGTGAGTTCTCATAAGCTCAAGGTTTGATTTTCCATCGAGTTGTCGAGAAAAGAAGCGTTTGAAATATTCCTTGACTGCAATTCTGCTGAATAATGCTGGTGCATTTGGGCCGATTAGGCTTGCTGCAGGACCTATCTCTCCATCAAGTTTTGGGCCGTGGAATGTGGCGATTGTGAGCCTCTCTTTCACTGAGTTCACTGTTGCCCGATGCAAAATGCTGCGATATGCCCCATTTGTTGCAATCTGTCACAAGCTAACAGAATTAGTAGAACCAAATCTGGTGATGGCACATACTACTAAACCTGAAGGCAATTGCCAGTGCCCACTATAGAGTTTGTATAGCAGAAGGTTTGTCCCATTTTGAGAAGTATGCCAGGGGTCAAAACTCAAAACTCAAAACAATGTTGATAGACTCAAAATCATTCCAGATGGAGTGCAAATTCAGGCGTACTTTTGTTCTGGGTTTTACAATTTTTTTCCAAGTAATTAAAATAAAACCTGAAGCATTGTAAAACTTGAAACAAAAGTGAACCAGAATTTGCACTATTTTCATTGCACTCCCATGCACCTGTACTAGTGCAAGCCAAAAAAATCTGCGCGCCATGCTCATTTCAATGGTGTTGGTTTTTTTTTTTTTTCAGGAAGGAAGCATCAGAAAAATGGGTTTGAGCCACCTTAATTAACCAGATAATAATTTTCAAATTCTCTTGTTTTAACCTTGATTAAGCTTGTTTCCGGTTGTTACCTCCAAACAGTCTGCAATATTGACTATGAAAGCATTCGGAAGGGGTTTAACTGGAATCCATGTCCCTTGTTTGTTGATCTCGAGGCCATCCGTTTCATTTACTTGAAGGAGAAGAGTTAGGCCCCCGGCATCTGAATGGGGTGTAAGACCAATGGCTAGCTCTGGTTGAGGACATTGAGGATAGAAATTAATTCTAATTCCTTGCATCCCATCCTCAAAGAACTCATTCATCTCCTCGCCCTTCATCTTCAGAGATTTAGTCATTTGCAGTAAGATATTCATGGCAAGCTTATTCATCTCCAACGTGTAAGCATTCAAGGTCTCTCTGCACAGATATGTACTTTGATTATTCATTAATATTATACGCAAACACAATCAACAGAGAGAGAGAGAGAGATGACCTGAAAGGTAGAGGGAGCTTAGGAAACAGGTGGGGCTTCCTTAGATGGGTAGGGAGGCTTATTATGAAAAATTGGTCTGCCCAATCAAGTTTCTGATCCTCTGATACCACGAAGCCCTGCCCAAATCCCTCCATATCGCCTGGTTTCTGCCAAAGTTTCTTCTTCTCTTCCATGGGGAGATTGAAGAATTCATGGATCTTTGACTTTAACTTTTCCAATAATGAGGAGCTTACTCCATGGTTTACAAACTGAAAAAAAATTGCATCCTTGATTCATTATGCTCAAAACAAACTAAATTCTTGAGAATTATAAAATACATCTTTATATTTTATATAATATAATATACTATATATATTTATAAAATATAAAAAATATTTATTTCGAGCTTTCAAGATGAATTCAAGTTCATCAAATATTTAATCAAATCGAGCTTGAACCTAATAGTATTTTATTCAAATTGAACCAAAACAACGTAATGAGCCTTTGCAATTGGTTTTTCACAAAAAAAAAAAAATCGTAGTTACTTCTCTGCAAGCTTGCAAAAGTTTCTAACCCACCAAAAAGGAAAGTTAATAAAAATTATATGAATCTATTTACCTGAAAGAAACCCCAATCTCTGCAAGCAGTATCTAACCTGGCCAATTCGGAGTCCATGGATTCAGCAGAAAATAAGGCTTGCATGTCGATAACAGGGAGGTCCTGGACGATGGGAGCTGAAGTGGAAGTAGGGTTGCTTGGAGGCTCTTGGCCTGGATGGACGTACCTGGGTGGGAGTGTGTTCATGGGATCTTTGGCTAACTCCTGGACGCTAGGTACCAGGAGGGAGCTTCCCAGTACTGGTGGTTGTTCTTCCATGGATTAATTATTTGCAGATAGATGGGTGAAATAGAGCTGGCTGTTCCTACTGCTACTTTGATTCCTGTTATTTGAACTCATGAAGAAATGAGAAGAGAACCTAGCTTATTTATACTCATTTCTACCAAATAAAATATTATTATCACGGATTATTAGATGTAGAGTAGTCTTCACAAGTGTAGGAAAAAAAATGTGTAATAGATGATGCTCGGAATGTGATGATAACATAAATAGTAGAATTTATATGGGTTTTGGTTCAACCGAGATGGATCCGTTAAACCTGACAATATCACGCCACAGGACTACAGGAGTGTGTAGAGATTTGTACTCTGAAGCACGAATTAATCTGTTAGCATTATTAGCATTGGCTTGAGATGGGGTGGTTCGGTTGGGTGAACCTGAAACTGGCCTAGATCTTGGGTAAATGGGTGCCGATCCAACCGGCCTCCCAATTGCCACCCAACTGATGAGCTAGCTATCCATTCTATAACCTGAGCCCAGATATTAGCTCAATGGTTTGTGGGTCGTGGAAAAAGAATCGAAAAAGAATCGTGGTTTGCTCAAAGGGTATTCTGAATTTGGCTAGGGATCGATCTCCATGTTTGTCTGTTTTTGTTGGGTGATTGGTGTAAGGGTGCCAGTTGGATAGGATTTAATTTGGTCCAATCTGATATGTTGAATTCATTACTGATGGTTCATGTCTAATTCAATCCGATAAATACTTTAGACCATTTTGGACTAGTCCAAAATAATGTTTAGACGGTACAATATGTTTAAATTGGTTTTGATTTAGATTGGTTTCAACCCAAACCTGTTCCATTGATACATATTCTTATCTCCTATCAATCAATCAGATATTAGTTCAATTCAACTAAATCCAATGTAAATTGATTACAGATAGATAGGTCCAATCCAATCTAATAAATATTTTGGACTATTAAGTCTGAACTGATCCAATTTAATATGTTTTATTGGTCCTCTAATTTAATTGGATGGGATCCAACCCAATATCAGCCCATTAACACCCCTAAAATTGGGTATGGGAAGAAAGCAAAAAGAGTCTGGATTTGCCCATCACAAAGCGCACCTCATACCTAACTAATAGCACTTGCAACCACATATTTGAAATATCTCCCATACTTATTTAATGTCAATCATCAATCATAGAGATAGTGGCAATGGAGAGCTGCAATGTGCTGTGAAATTGGTGTAACGCACGCTCTATGAGAAAGAAATCTGAATTCAAAGCAAAGCCTCTCATCTCATACTGTTGTGTCATTGTGAGGCTGTGTAATCAATAATAACATCCCGACATGAGGTATTATGATTGGTTACACAGTTAATCCAAATTCGTTCAACTTCAACCTTCCTGGCCGTGTTCCATGTTGGCTGAGGGTAATCGGGTACGGGTGGCAATTTACATCTCATTAATCTACCCAATCCATTCACTTGTAACTCATTTCATTGGGTTATTAATGGGTTGAGTGAGGTTACTTAAAAGGTGCCCTTCAAATTAAATATCCAACTATAAGCACAAAATCTTGTATTTGTACTGTATATATTTGTATTTATACTCCTTTTGAACTGAGCCATAGGTGCATATCAATCCATATGTATTGGTTTTCAGGTCAACTATAATAATAAAAGGAATTAGCTTATTTCAATTATTTGAGACTGGTGATGTGATTTGTCAAATTATCAAACAAAAAAAAAATACACAAAGTTATATGCAATTTTGTGTATAGAGAGTTCTAAAGGAATTGTACAAGCCCTTTTAGATGGGCTTCAAGCATGGAGGATAACATATTCACTCATATCTTCGGCTGAAATTTTATTAACTATAATGGGGATAATAAGGATCAAACACTAAATCACTTGGTCAAACAAATTCTGATATCATCTAAAGGAACAGTTCAACTTAACAACTTAAATTGTTAGATAATATCCCTGAATAAATTTTTATTCTTTAACAAAAGTATCTATCAATATCCTTATATACACACAAATATATATAATTGGAGATCAAAATTGATGATGATGATGATAATGATGATGATAGAAGCTACACAAACGCAATAAGAGATAGCCCATTCAGTAAACCCATAAGCCCATAACCCTCCCACCCGTGAACTCTGACTCCCTAAGCCAATAGATCTTAACAAAGAACACGGGTGCTAGTTTGCATTGGGTTTAACATCACACACTTCATCCAAGGTTCAAAATAATGCATTTGGCATACCAGTGCTGATTTGCGTTGGGGTTCTTCCCAAGAACATCATTGCTTGCATTGGGTTTCACACATGAATTGGAAAAAAACATCAAAATGACGTTTGTTTTTTCTTTCTTTTTTGTTTATTTATTTATTTTTTTGAATCACAAAGGTTTTTAAAAAGAACATACTATTTGCTTTGGGTTTAGCACATAAGACTGTGTTTGGTTGCAATGCTAATAAATCTGTATTGATCGAAAACTTTGAGAGTTGCAAATGATTTGGGTGCAAATTCTGATTTATTTTTGTTTCGAGTGTTACCTTATTTTATTTAATTACAGTACAAATGAAGTAAAATAAGACCTGAAACAGATTGAAGTAAAACCAAACCAAAAATTACACTAAAATTTGCATTCTTTTAATTTGCACTTCTATGTATGTGTACTAGTGCAAATACAATTGCACTGCAACCAAATACAGCTTAAAGAGCATTGGAAATTTGGAATAAACATCAAAATGACGTGTTGAATCATGATGGCTTTAACAAGAACACGTTTGCATTGGGTTTCTTATGGATTCATGCATGAAAAATTAGTAGAAGTAATGCCAAGATATTCAATTAAGCTTATGTGAGGGGCATCCACAATCCAGCCAAATGAAGTTTATGTTAAAATAATATGTGTGAAAGGAGTTAAAATCAGCCGCCCCACAATGTCCTACAGTACATCATCGCCATGCATTGAGAACATTTCCTGATGATGATATTAAAAATGATGATGTTATCATAGGGAGATGTGATGTGGAACATTGCATGAGCTTGATTTGGTCTCGTGTGAGAGGGGATATTCATTTCTAAAGAAAACATAATAAAAAGTTAAGTGTGCTCTCTCTCTCTCTCTCTCTTTATTTATCTATCTATCTATCTATCTATCTATCTATATATATTTATTTATTTATGGCTGAAGTTGTAGTGTTGTTGGACGGTTGGACTATTAGATAAGAACCGTGGTGAGCCGGAACTTGAACAAGTAATTGATACTTTCAGCTAAAAGTAGGTGAGTTGTGAACCCTACACCCTACTGACTACGTGATCAATGACCCATTGATTAATGTATTAATGGTTCAGACTTTCAGAGTCGGTCAGAGTCAGGAGTGGAAGAAGAACGAGAAACTAAGACATCCTCTATCGCCATAGCAATCACCACAAAGAATTATTTTGTCTGTTAAGTCTCATCAACTCTCATAGGAACTTGTACGTTTTCATTTGTTGCTATAGTGTTAATTATGAACTAGCGGGGATCCGTGCGATGCATGGAAAAACGAAATGCAATTTTTGACAAAATATTGTAATTTATTTAGGCTCATATTATTTGATAATCTGAAGTAATTATCATCCTAAGTTCTAATAATTTCTGATAATTTCTATTATATAATAAATTATGAAAGTTCTTGGTAAATATAAAATTTTATGGAAATTAGTGGTTATTTTTGGCTAATTTCTGGTAATTTCTACTATACTAATTTATGAGAATTCTTGGTCAATATATACTTATTTTTTATACTTATTATATGATAGTTTATTGGTCAATTAGTGGAAATTAGTTCTATTATATAATTTCTACTAATTTCTGGTAATTTCTATTATATAATAATTTCTTGGTAAATATATACTAATGTATTATATTTGTTATATGATAGTTTATTGGTAAATTCTAGTAATTTATCGATTTTATGGAATTTAGTGGCTATTTTTTGACATTTCTACTAATTTATGATGATTTTTGGCAAATTATATTAATGTATTTAGGATTATATTATTTGATAATTTCAAGTAATTATCATCCTAAAGTCTACTAATTTGTGATAATTTCTTTTGATTTATTTTTAGTAATTTTTAAAAATATCGGTAATTTATGTTTAATAATGGTAATTTCTTTATAATTTTTATAATTATTTGGCAATTGTTATTGTTACATTATTTGACAATTTTAAGTATAGCAATTATCAAATTTCAAAAAAAAAAATCAAATAACAATATTTTTAACTTACAATTTGTAACAATCTTTAAATCACAATATTTTTAACTTACGTATCGTGCTAATGTCTTCCTTATATGCCCCTATAGGGGTTGTATTAGGTCAGCCACTGGTTTAGAACATTGAAGGAATTCATTAAGCTAAATGCAAATAGCATTTTTAACTGACATTATGTAACAATCTTCAAAGCACAAAACTCAAAAATTTAAACCAAAGAGATTCATCAATAAGCAAAAAGACAAACATTATTTATGCTGATTTTTGTTAACATTATTTATTAAATATTTAATTATTAATAGCATTTATCAATAATAGTAAGTAATTATAATATTTTATTAAATAATCAGTAATGATAGTTTTAATAGTATTATTTAGTTATTTTTAATATAACAGTAATTATTAAATTTATGAATAGGATTTACTAACAATGTTCATTAAATTAATAATTACCAAAATTAAATTTAATTAAYAGTATTTATCAGTAATAGTCAATAATTAAAATATTTTATTAAACAATCAATAACAATACTTTTTATAGTATTTTTAATTATTTTTAATATAACAATAATTACTAAATTTATTAATAGTATTTATTAATAACAATATTTATAATCTTAATTTAAAGTAAAATTAAAGTAAATATCTATTTATTAGCAATATTTATAATAACAGTAATTATTAATTATAATCACTAATCTTATAATTAATTATTTATAATAACAATANTATATATATATATATATATATATATATATATATATATATATATATATATATATATTAAAAGATCACAAGAGTTATTGTTTTTTATTTTTTTCTTCTTTTTAAGAAAAAATTCATTAGGCTATGTTTGTTCGCAGTGTAAATATGGACTAGTATAAATAAATATTCAGGTTCGACCCTCTAAATCAGTGATTCATTAACCAAATCAATGATTTTTGGCCAAAAACAATTTTAGATGAAACGGAACCGATAAAATCACCGATTTCTGGTTTTTCAGTTTCGGTTTATGGTTGAAGAGAATGAAGATTGACAGATTCGGTGGAGATGCTTGGGGAGGTTCAATCATCTATTCCTCCAATTTCCTAGTCGAATAGATCCCAACGTGATTTGGTTTCTAATTTTCGGTATTAAGAATCCAACCCAGCCATGAGTTCATCAAAGTCGCATAGCTCTTTTCTAAGAAATTACATATTGCATTAGAGGGAAAAAAAAAAATAAAAGATAAACAGAAACAAAAGCTAGTGCAGGGTACAGATAGATAAGAATGGCAATGGGACGGGGTCAGGTTTTGCCGGCTCCGTCTCCAACCCCGAACTCAAATGCCCCGGCCCAAATCTCAATGAGGTTAGAAATCTTAACCCCATTCCTATTTCCGCAGGAAACAAGGATTCTCAAATTTGCCCATCCCAGTTTGATCATCCTTACTTGTATACTATTTTAAAACCTTCAATGAATTATTTTATATTATGTAGTATAATATAGTATAATATAATATAATACATATTAATCGTTATATATATATATTATGATATAATATAATAAGGGTGAATTTGAGGCCAAGGCCGGAACAGGATAGACAAATACCATTCCTGCCCCATTTCCCATTCCTAGAGTTTTAGGTTTTCCCGAACCCTAATCAATAGTCAAAAAAACCACCCCAATTGAGGCAGGGCCCATGGGGACGGGTCAAATTGCCATCTCTACAGAATAGAATTAAAGATCGCCCCACATTGATGGTGAAAAATCTGGAGAGCCCAAAATAGACTGTGGATCAGTCATTTTTCAAGGGCTGTCTGCTTCAAACTCTTTGACTAGCTTATCTGGATTCCGGAGCACTTTAAAAGCTGCTGAATCTTCAGCTCAGTCCTCCAAAACGGGCTCTAAGATCACCAATACATTTTTGAAGGGCTGTCCGCCAAGGTAGCAATGCAGTACTTGGTTTGAGTAGCGAACCGGTTTGTGCAGCCTGAGGAATGATGGTCTGGGCTAAGATCCCCAGAATGTTCCAACTTTTATTCAGACCGGCCCAAAGGAGTCCAGACCAATAGTGAAGGCTTTCTTTCTAGTTTCTATCTCTCCTGTGGTAGCCAAACAGGATCCTAAAGACTTGTAGAAATTACAGAAGGTCAGCTCCGACCCGGACGAGATTTATCCTGAATCCAGACATCCCAGTGTTAGTCCAATCCAAATAACAGAAGAGAGGGTTTCGGGCCTCTTCATTTTGTCTCACTTTTGATTGAAAAGAGGACTTGCAGAGGACTAACAGAGACTTCGAGGAACCAACACCAACGAATAGCTGAAAAGATCAGGACAGAAGAAGAAGAAGATGGCAGAGGAAGGAGAAAGCGTCAAAGCGGGAGTTGGGGCGAAAGCAACAGAGGAGGACATTGATGGGGTCATTGGTGGTGGCAGTGGTGAAGAACCCGAGGAAGGAGAAATTGTAGGGGACGATTCAGCTTCTGTGAAGTCGTCGACTACTTCCTTGCAGCAACCTCACCCGTTGGAGTACTCATGGACTTTCTGGTTTGACAATCCTTCGTTCAAATCCAAGCAAGTAACTTGGGGTGCCTCCATTCGCCCCATCCACACCTTCACCACTGTCGAGGAGTTCTGGGGGTACTCCTCAACCTTTGCATCTTTCTTGGTTTGTTTCTTTGGTTGCTTCGTTTTTCTTCATTTTCTTTTCTGGAATTCTGGTTTTTTTCGTCACAAGAAAATGTCAAAACCCCTTCATGATCCGAAAGAAAAAAAAAGAAAAGAACTTTGCTTATGGATTTGGATGTAGCAATTGTAAGATTTGATCCTACTCGCAGATTTAAGATTTCTTATTATCCAGTTTTGGTTAAAAATGGTTCATTTCCTTTCTTCTCCTTAGTCTAGCTGAAGCTGTTGTTGAAACCCATATTTCGTTTCCTATTCATATCCGACGTATATGGATTAGTTCTTCCTTGTTTTCCTCTTCTTTCAAGATTTGTCGCATCCTTACCAGCTTTTTTAAGATGCATCTAGTTTTATGTGATGATTTTGCAACTGGGGTTTGAAAAAAAGTGGCATTTTTCAGTATGGAATTATTTATGAATCCATGTGCTGAGATTTTACCCAATTTGGCATATTCATCTTCCCTGAATTTCTATCTTATTTTATTGAATGGGGGAAAGCTATGATGATAACGTTCTGAGATCTTGTTTAACTCATTGATTTGCAAAATGAGATCTGTTGTAAGGAGTGTAGTTTCCAAGTAATATACAAGGCAGTGGGTTACAACTTCTCTGACCGATAATTCATGATTTGGTTTCATTTAGATTTTTCTAATTTACTGTAGGTCTGAATAAAGCATAGCTCTGGAACTAGCCTATATCTTTCTTCATTATTTTTGAAAGTACCAAGCTCTTCTTTAGTTGATTATATCATATGAATGTCGTCTTAGTGATGATATCTATTCTATATTCGAAAGTTTTCTATTATTTTAGATTACATTTTTTCCATAAATTGCACTTGTTTCTACTGTTTATGTGCACTGTCATTTTAACTGTTAATCATATTTGGTTTTTATGGCATAATGCGACAAAATTACTATAGGCCATTAGAACCATCTTTCATAATGGTGCTGTTTCTTGATTTTAATGATCTTTCTTTTACTTCTGTTATGCCACTATTTTTTTTCCACTTTTGTTTGTAACTAAGGAAAATTTGTGACAAACATCTATTCTGCATTCAGTCTATACAATAATATACTTCATCCAAGCAAATTAGTTGTGGGAGCAGACTTCTATTGTTTCAAGTACAAAATTGAGCCAAAGTGGGAGGACCCTGTTTGTGCTAATGGAGGGAAATGGACCATAAGCTCTCCTAGAGGAAGGGCTGATACTTGGTGGTTATATACAGTATGTGTCTGGTCCCAATAGAATTACAATTACTACCAAACACTATATATGATGGCTAATAATTTTTGGAACCAATTTCTCTAGTTGCTGACAATGATTGGAGAACAATTTGAGCATGGTGAGGAAATTTGTGGAGCAGTTATTAATGTTCGAGGAAAGCAAGAGAAGATATCCCTATGGACCAAGAATGCTTCAAATGAAACCGCTCAGGTAACCACCCTTATCCAACCAAAAGCAAATGAATTGTTGTTTTCTTTTTCAGCTTCCTCTTATACATATTTGGTCCATATTGTGGGTTTTTTTTCAATTTATAATCTTATCTTTTTTTTTTTTGTTCTGGTTGACAAAACCTTGTTTTCCAAGATTATTTGGACTCCATCCTGGTAGGTTGACAACTCATATCAACCTTGTCGTGTGTTGATTTATGTGAATATGGTAGAAAATTTCTCTTTTTATGTACAATTTTGATGACAATATAATGGTAAGTACAGTCTTGGGCCAACAAGTGTAAGGTCTTTATCCTGTCCACCTCTCCCAACCATGGTTTTAAAACACTTAAGAGTTAAAGCCTTGAGGTGTACACCTTGAGGCAAGCCACACAGATTTTGCTTCAAGGCTTAAGCCTCATAACTTTAATTTTAGGCTTAGGCCCTTGTCAAAAAGAGGCATATGCCTCAAGGCATAAGTTGTAAGCTTTAAAAATCAATTAAGTGACATTTATCAAAAAAAAACAATTAAGTGATTTAATACAAAGATATATTTTATGAATTTTATAGTTTAAATATATGGGAGGGTCACTTTGGTAATTATGGCCCAAATAAAGAAGAGTAAAAATGAAAAGCTTATAGGGAAAATTGAGTTTTTAGATCTCTTAGGGTTTGAGGAGTTCAACCAAGTACACAACAAGGGCCAGGAAGAACCTTCATAAGTCTCACTTGATCCTTGGTCAAATCAAGTGACACCTTTTTTCCTTTTTTTTCCTATACTTTTGGGCAAACAAAAATCTAGCATCCCGGGTTTGTTATTTTGCTCATTTCTATTCCTAATGGATTTCTTTTCGTTTTATTTATTATTCTATTTTTGCAAATATCAAATCAACTAAGTTCCATCCTTTCGTTAAAACTGTTGGGTGATCAGAATTCTAGTATCAATTATATGGATGATTCATTAGATGGTTCCATTGGTGAAAACAATTTTGGTGATATGATAGAGAATTTTTTATAAACTAAAACATTATGATTGGTCATTTGAACAGTTTGAGAATTTTGGATTTTATAACTTAAAATCTGAAAGATTTCTGGTCGTTAGTTAATTAGTCATTATTTTGTTGAACACTAAAAGCCTAGAACTTATTGCTTATAGACTTCTATTTTATGAATGCACCTTTATTTAACTTAGAGGCCTACACCTTGCTATGCCCTGAGGCCTGTGCCTCACCTTTTTGGGTGACTATGCCTCAACTGCACCTTTAGCCTTTTAAAACGTTGCCCCCAACACCCTAAATATTTGGGGCCATCAGTGGGTAATGGTGTTCTTTGATGTAAAACATAGTTTTCAAGGTGCCGCGGTGAGGCCTAGTTGCTTAGCCTAGGCGACTAGGCCTGGGCTCCTAGGCATAGCCTAGGCAAGGGATTTTTTTAAATAAAAATCATTGATCCTAGGGTGGTTTTCGAGGTTCCAAAGCAATTATTTAGTAGTGATCATCTTTCATTAATAATTATCTATAACTTTCTCAAAAAAAGTACAAAATTCATATTAAAGTATTCACGAGAAGCAAGAGAAGACAGAAAAGAAAATTGAGACCAAAGGATGAAAGAGTAGACCTAGGGAAGACCAGAGGAAGAGACTGTTGGCAAAGAAAAAGTATGATTCTTTAGTATACCAAGAAGAGGCTATGTGGCAGCAAAAATCAAGAAATACTTGGTTGAAGCTTGGTGATAATAATACTGCTTTTTTTTCATAAAATAGCCAATGCAAGAAGAAGGTCAACTCCATAAAGAAACTGCGGGTCATAGTTTTCAAGGCGCCAAGGTGAGGCTAGGTGACAGGGGGGCGCCTTGTCGCCTAGGCAATGGTTTTTTTTAAGTGAAAAATACATATTCTAGGTAGTTCCCTAGGTTCCATAACCATCTTTCCTTAATAACTATCTATAATAAACTTCATGTTTATGTCTAGAAAATCAATACAGCAGTTAGAAATGTGTTGATTAGACAAAACTTTAAGTTTTTCCATACTTATTGGTTCAAATTCTGAAGTCTTTGAGGGTTCAATACAATAGTTAGCAATGTTTGTGTTGATTAAACCCTAACAAATAAGAAAATAATAAAAAGAAATTAGTTTATATACACAAAAAATGAATATTTTTGTTTAATAATGTCTATTTTATAATTATAATCTCAAAAAAGTAACAATATAAAAGTATTTTATAAGACAGTATACAAAACTGCTAGGCGACTGGGCGAGGCAAGCCTCCAAGGGCGCCTTGTCGCCTTGGTGTCGCCTTGACAACTATGCTGCGGCCTGCGGGTTGATGGGATGCTGGTGGAAGATGGGAAAGAGATTGTGAATTCCATTGTGAACATCTACAGGCAGTTGTACAAGGACCCTTGCAGGTTCAGCCTAAGCTAGATGGCCTTAACTTTGATATGCTGACAGAGCAACAGGCAGCTGAGTTAGAAAAACCCTTTACAGAGGAGGTCAAGAAAGCTTTAGATGAGGTCATGAGATGGAGGGGGAGAAGGCCCCTGGCCTGGATGGTTCACCATTTTGTTTTACAAGAAGCTTTGGGGATTAATTAAGCTGGACCTGCTTACTGTCTTGGAGAAGTTCCACAAGTCAGCAACTCTAGGGAGAAGTCTGAATGCATCTTTCATTTCCTTGCTTCCCAAAAAAAAAGTGGTGCAGCTGAATTGAAGGATTTTTTACCTGTCAGCTTAATTGGTAGCACAGTTGTCAAGGTGTCTAGGCGATTCTAGGCAACATTGGGGCACCTAGTCATGGGCGCCTAGTTGTTATAAGTCAAGCCATTTGGGTGAGGCACCTTGTCACCTAGGTGGCACCTTTACAACTATGATTGGTAGTGTCTAAAAGATCTTGTTCAAGGTTTTATAGCTACAAGGCTATGGGTGGTGATGGATTATCTCATTTCTGTTTATCAAGTGGCTTTTGTCCATGATAAACATATTCACGATTGAGTCCTAATTTCCAATGAAATCATTGATTCAAGGAGTAGGAAGTGTGGTTTGGTTTGTAAAATAAATTTAGAGAAGGCACATCTGGTCATGTGAATTGAGCCTTTCTAGACTATATGTTGGTAAGGATGCACTTCAGGTCTAAATGGAGGAATTGGATGAAAGTGTGCACTACCACACCAAGCCTTTCAATTATGATTAATGGATCAGCAGACGGGCAATTCAAAATCTCAAGAGTATTAAGACAAAGAGACCCTTTGTCTCCGTTACTTTTCTTATTGTTATTGGAAGGCCTTAGCAGGATGGCAGACAAAGCCTCGGAATCAGGGTGTCTAGAAGGCTTTGAGGCCAGCAACAAAGGTTTGACAGTGTCTCTGACTCTCTGTTGCAATTCACAGATGACATTCTCTTCTTCTGCGATGCCAATGCTGAGTAGGTCCGAATTTAAAATTTTTACTATTTTGGTTTGAGGCAGTTTTGGGGCTGAAGGTCAACCTCTCTAAGATTGAAATGATGGCAACAGGGTAAGTATCAAATGTGCAGGAATTGGCTGATGTGTTGGGTTGTAAGGTGGGAAGTCTCCCTTAATATCTTTGTCTACCACTTGGAGCAAAATGCAGTTCAAAATCTATTTGGGACCCAGTCCTTGAAAAGAGAGACTTGAAGCTGGCTTCTTGGAAGGCTCGTTATCTCTCCAAATGAAGCAAGCTGGCCTCTTGGAAGGCTCTAAATATTGCTTATTAAAGAAATATGATAGTTGCACTTTGTCTGTTAGCATATTGTTAATTTTCTGTTGAATCAATTCATTGAGGGGCACCATTGAAAGGGTTGGGAATGGCATTCCTTGAGGAACTGAAGATGTGTCATAAGCCAACTTTCTAGCAATTTATTGGATCAACTCTTGAGTGTGTGATTTTCTAAATGGCAATTTAAACTGTAGCAAGCTTCAAAAAAACATCAATTATTTATGTACTCCAACTTTTTAGAAGTGTTCCATTCAAGAGGTGGGTCCACAAGTGAATAGGTTCCCACTGTGAAAGGTGAAGATACATGTTTGTCCATATTTGGGAGGGGGGGATATTTTGAATGCTTCCCCTAATTTTAAATAGAAAACCTACTTTCTTGTTTGCAGGTGAGCATTGGGAAGCAGTGGAAGGAATTTCTTGATTACAATGACTCCATTGGCTTCATATTTCATGTAATGTTGAATTCTCAACTTTTATGAGTTCATTATCAGCATTTATGTGACTCTATTCATCATTAGGCTGTGGTTGCTTGTTCTGCTCCATAATTTCAGGATGATGCAAAGAAGTTTGACAGACTTGCGAAAAATCGCTATTCTGTGTGAAGCTCAAATCCTCTTACACTGACAAACACCAAATTGAAACAGAAGGTGAGTTTATTTAGTAATTAAATGGGTTGATATTTTGTAGCTGCAATAGGTCTCCTGGGATTTTGTTAGACGAAACCGTTAGATTTGCTTGCTAAATTAACTGCTTTTCTATTGCAGGTATTTCCATTATCACAGATAGAAAAATGGCAGGCCTTTCAATTGGACAATGGTTGCAAGATAAATGACCTTGTATAATTGTTAGAACTTTGAAGTCATTTCTTTTGTAGTGAAAAAGATTATCAGTAAGCCATGAGTATGTTGTATAATATGGGAATGCATCTTTGAAGTTTTGCCTTAAATGATGAAAGTTTGCTGCATTTTATTTATGCAAATTACTTGTTATGGTTTGCTTTCTCAAGGGGAAACTAGCTTGCAAAAGCATGTATCCCATGGCATTACCAAAGCCATGCTTACAGTCTCTTCTGATTTGAAGTTGGAAATTCATGCTAAGCCAGGATACCCCCTATAAACTAATGCTTTCTGTTTGAAGCCTTTGCATCCAAGATATAGGTTGTCCATCTTTCTAGCAACTCTACTTGCAGATTCTTATTGCCAGTTCGCATTTACCACAATGAGCAATGGCCTAATGATAAACGGAGATGTTACCATTTTAGAATCATCAGGTGTTTTGAATTGAAAACAAATGGAGGGTACTGGGCATCACATGTTTCTCAATGTTTTTACCAAGAAACTTGAAGCCTGGGAACACTCTGTCCTCAATTCTTTTTCTAATTTTCTGACTTCCAGTTGGTGCTTGATTTAAACATCATACTCGTCTTGAGGGTAATCTTTTATTCATTTTGTAGGCATACTTCGCAGTAATGTAACTGTTGAATCCTTCGTCCATGGTTTCTCTTCCATTATAATTAACAACGATGGCCTCGTGCTAAGCTACAATTCATATCTAATCAGAATACACACTTGGTGCTGTTTTTGGTTTGATGAAAACCAAGGGAGAAACAGAGAGAGTTCTAGGAATGCCACCAACTTTCTATTTCTCTCATTTTACTACCAGCCTTGATTCACGTCATGGAGAAAACATACTGCGACTGCGAGCTGTTTAAAGTTCAAACCAGACACTCGTTAACCAATTGTAGTTTGCATTTGGTTTATTTGGAGGGAAAATTACTATGGTTCTTAACAAGTTAACAGAGCTAGAGAGGCAGAGAGGATCCAAGAGTGGAAACATCACATTTCCTGCTTTGAATGAATTCTTGTTTGCTTGCAAAATATAAAAAGAATTAATCCAGAAGCAGACTTCGACGAGCTATTAGGCCAGATGAATGGAAAATTGGGGAGTAAAAGCCAGTGGATCTTATTGAAATTTAAGTCGCTTAAATGCTTTGAACCCATTTTAACAAATGTTAATTCTTGAATGTAAACAAGGATCAAATCTGGAAAAAAAAACAATACTTGAACATCATAACAATTCACAACCTTAAATACCCACTATTATTAGTAGTGAGAGTTTTGTTACAATCATCCAGAACAAGATCAAAACAAATTGTTAAACCAAATGGCCGCAGTTAGTAACTCTACGGAAGCTATGTTGCAGAGATGCAGAATTGTCTAAACCAACAACACTGGCAGCTACAACCTATGAAACAGATTGCATGCCCACATAAAAAATTCTACTTTTTATGCTCCTGCCTGGCTACAATTTTGAACTTCCCAGTCTGTTGTTGCTGCAGAACAGAGAGGAGATAATGAAATGGTATTAGTTCACTTTATCGTTTGTTCAATGTCAAATAGGAAGAAAGAAAATCTTGATATGAGATACCAACAAGAAGAGGTTGTTACCTTCTTCCAAAGAGCAGTGTGGGCCTTGCAGAATCCAGCGACAATGGCCCCAGTAGTTCTGGCCTCTTTGTATTCAATGCAGAGGTCCTCCTTCAAGCCACAGCTTACATGGAAGGCCAACGAGCACTTGGGCTCAGAGCACTCAATCGCACATCCGGTTGCTGAGTTGCAGATGTAACAGACCTCTTCCCATCTTCTGCGAGGAACCCGGGAACAATCGATGCCCTCTCTTCCTTTTGGATCCCTGAAGAAGACCTCCGGCACGAGCAGTGCACACAAGATATGACCCCATTGTCCATCTCTGGTGGGCTTGACAGCCCCTCCCTTGACTGGACAGAGGCAGCAACAAAAGTCATCATTGGCTTTAACCTTACGAGAACGCGAAGAAGCTTGGCATCTGGCACAGAACCAGTCGCCTTCTGGGATACCCCGGATGAGGGGATCGCCGTAGCAGGTAGCATGGACCATAACGTCGCAGCCATCGCATAGGACGATAGGATCTGATGGATCTCCGTCGGTGCTCTGGCAGACGTCACAGACGATCCCATCATCATCATCAACTTCTTTGCTTTCATCTTTCCCTGCTTCAGGCTCCGATGCTTCCCCTTCACTACACTGGGATAACGGGATGCTCTCATCTGTACCATATTGAGTCCCCTCATTCGGCTCTTGGTTTTCCTCATTGGCTTGTTTTTCTTCAGAGTCGATACCAGTTTTGCTGGGGGAGTTCATCTGTTTCTTCAACTTGGGAGATTTTTCAGGAGATGGTTCGTACTCAACGTTGAGATCGAAAGACGAAATGGGTTTCTGTGGGGTGAGGAGAACGGGTTGCAGAGCGCAGACCCTCTTCTTGGCGGGCAAGCAATAGGTGGTGCTGGTGGTGGGATTTGGAGGAGGGTCCCATGACTCCTTCCTTTTCTTGGCTGGAAGGTGGAAGGAACTCGGGCTTTCGTCTTCCTGTTGTTGCAGAAGCTTGAATCTCTTCAGTGGAGGCAGGTCATGGAAGCAGTTCCCCATTTCCGTAGCTTGAGCGAGAGAGAGAGAGAGAGAGAGAGAGATGTGAGACTGGAAAAGAAGTTGGGAAAGATTTGGGAGAAGTTTGAAAGAAACAGTGGGAAGTTTTGAAGAAAACCCGGGAATAATCGAAAAAAAGAACCGCAGAGTTTTCGTTTGAATTTGGCGGCAACGTTCAAAAGATGAAACCGGGCGAAATGGAAACCATAATGTAGAAAGTAAAACCGGGCGGGAAGAGTGGTCGAAGCGTAAAACCCTGTTCTCAATTTGAAGGGAGAGAGGCAGAAACTAGTATTGCACAAGAGCCACCAATATGGAATGAATCTTTATCGGGGTTAATCTTATGAATACTTAAAGATAAAAAAAATTCCAATCCGACGGTTTACAGGGGGAGTACGAGTGTACGACTTTGTGCCATACACGATCTCTTTTCAAATACATCAATTCAACCCCAAATCCAATAAGCCTAATTCAAAGTCCAAACTCAAACTAGGCTTGAATTGGGCAGTCCAACTTTCCCTTGCGTTTGGTCCGGGCTTGGGCCTTAGGGATTAGGCCTGGGTTGATCTTAAACTAGCCCATTCTGCCCACGCCAAAGTCATAAAACCGAGCTGTTGCTACTTGCTAGTCACGGACCAACAATAAAGCTGGATTGAGAAGGAGAAAGAAGTTCAGAAATGCAGATAAGTTCAGTCGCTCCATTCTCCCATCATAATTGTATTCGCTGCACTACTCGGCACAGCAACCAATTCGCAGTAGCTCCATCTCTAAGTCCAACCACCACCACCAGGGCCGGTTCAGGACTCCTCGTTTTCTCGTCCAAGTCCAACCATGGCATTGGCATTGGCAGCGAGAAGTGTCTCACCACGTCGAGCACCAGTTCTACTAAAAACCGGTTTTTAGAGGAAGTGTACTCGGCCTCCTACTCGACCAACGTCGCCACCAGCACCAACGCCGACGGCAAAAGAAGCCGAAGAAGCCAGACCCAGAAAGGAGAACAAGAAGAGAACGATCATAAGCCTGGGACCAGCAGCAGAAGCAATAGCGGCGTTTCAACGAACATGTGGTGGCAAAATTTCAAGGCCAATTTGGGGCAGCGCTTCAACTTAGAGGGTATCGTTTCGTCATCGGCGGTGGTGGCGAGGGACCAGCATTTGGCCATTCCGCATCTTACTGTACCAGACATAAGTTGGATCGATTGGGCTGAGTTGCAGAGGAGGGGTTTCAAGGGTGTCGTCTTCGATAAAGACAATACGCTTACTGCTCCTTATTCTTCTGCTATCTGGCCTCCTCTAGTCCCTTCGTTGCGTCTCTGCAAATCGGTTTTTGGTGATAATGTTGCCATATTCAGCAATTCTGCCGGTAATTCTACTTTTTTTTTTCTTTTTTATTATGATCTTCGTCATTAGTAATTTTTGTTTTCCCCTCATTCTATTAGATTTTTTCCCGTTTCGTTCATTCTTTAGGGCTCTACCAGTATGATCGTGATGGTTCTAAAGCAAGAACTCTTGAAGAGTCAATCGGCATTCACGTCATCAGGCATGGTAAGTCTCATTTCTTTCTTTGTTTCTTGTCCGCTATATTTGCCTAATGAATTTGCTAAGACATTTGCAAAGTACAGATATATACGGATAGATTATGGTATACTTGTATATCCCTCAGTACACATTCTTTTTGTACATGGGCTTTTGGTTTTCAATTAACGAAAATGCTTTACCTTTAAAAGAAAAAAGATATTTGCAAAGTACTGATATAGTTTAGCAGCACTCTGTTATCTGGTTAAGCTTAATCCGGTGGTTCTAAATTTCTTATAAAATAGATATCATAGTTTTGATCTTAGCTTATCTTTGGCCAAAATGAAGAGAAAACCATGCTATATTATGAGGAATATATTTGTTATGAACTTCACTCCCCAGTAGGAAAAAAACTGTATTCCTTTGATTGATTCCAGTATAAGCAATAATCCCTAATTATTTTTGGTATCAACCAAAATAAATAAAAGTAATCCTTGAATGCTTTGTTGTTGCTTCAGGTTCAACAAGCATCCCATAGTTATTATGTCAGTATGTTTTATTCAATCATTCAGTATGAATCTTAAAGCAACTCTTGTTATAAATAACAAATTTCTGTTTCTTTGGTTGATTCTAATAGAAATAGCAGTTCTTGATTATTCATTAATATGATTTTGTTGGTTTCTGCTTTTCATTACCAGGATTAAGATGGACTTTTCTGTTCAACAGTTTGGGTAGGTATAATATGTAGATATTGAACCTTGATGGAATTTCTGGTATGTCTGTTTACTTATTAAAAATGATGTATTCACATGGTATTATTAAGTATAGTTCCTAAAGGTGTTCATGAGAATGGTCCCATGTGTACACCAGGGCTGGGTTTTAGGAGAATTAGATGGCTGAATAAAGCACTACTTGGTAAATTACCGTGGAGATTTTGGTGTAGAGAAGTTCTTTTGGGAAGAGCAATTTAATTTAAGGGTGGTCATATTTAATTGAGTTCTAAAGTGGCATCGACCACATATGGTGTATGTGTTTGGAAAGGTAGTATGCAGCTTCAACAAGCTTTTTTTTTTTTGATAAGTAAATGTTCATTAAAGGAAGCCCAAGATACCTAATCTTGGCCACTGCCTAATCTCACATCCCAACACTGTTGCACACTCCACCAGTTCCCTAGCTTCCATTTGTAAACCCACACATTTTGCCAAGTCGATCCTTAACCCTGTCACTATTTCTACTATTTCCATAATTCTCCTGAGATCTTGCACATCCTGTATCTCCCTAATCAGAGAAACAACTTTATTCAATCTACCCACCCTGAAGCCTCTAAAAATTCCTCTCTCATCTGCCCTCCTTAATAACTTGCTAAAAATTTCCATCACCAAAATAAACAACATTTGGGACAATGGATCTCCTTGTCTGCCTCTGGATGCCCTAAAGAAATCCTTTGGAGATCCATTAATAGATGTTTAAGAATAACTCACTCCCCTTATTTCTCTTACTAACTTTCTTTACCTTCTTCACCTTCTTGTTAGGGGCATTCATTATAGGGATCTTTTAGATGAATTCTCTTTTTTGTTTCCATTATATAGCAGTTCTTTGTAAGGTTGTTTGTACAGGCCATTACAGCTAGGAGCTGTGATGGGGTTTTCTCTTTTTGTTTTTCATCATAATACTTTATCTTTTTCAAAAGAAAAACTCCAAATTATTCCATGAACAAGTTTGGCAACAAATCGACATAAGTAATTCCAAATTCCCAAGGACAAACCGACAAAGCAAAAGCTGCTATGTGTCATGGAAATTGGTAGCTGATGTTGTGTTCTTTGTGTTGGCTAACCTCACTAAGGATTGACTTCCACCAGTGTCAACAATAAGCCAAGTGTTCAGAAGATTGGACCATCTCAGATCACAAAGAACTAAATAATAATGTCCATCAGCTGAAAATTCCTGGTCATATCAACACTTCATACCAATGTTTTAAAAATCGGAGGCATGATGTGAGGTTACCTGGAGGCTGGAGGTGTGAGGCATAGTTTAGAATGCAAGAGGTGTAAGCTCTTGAGCACAAGGAAGTGTAAGCCTCCTCAAGAGAAAGTGGAGGAGGTACCTTCCTGAAAATTCCTGGTCATATCAACACTTTATACCAATGTTTTAAAAATCGGAGGCATGATGTGAGGTTACCTGGAGGCTGGAGGTGTGAGGCATAGTTTAGAATGCAAGAGGTGTAAGCTCTTGAGCACAAGGAAGTGTAAGCCTCCTCAAGAGGAAGTGGAGGAGGTACCTTCTTGTTCATCTTTTATTTCATTCTTTCTTTTCTTTTCTTTTCTCTTCTCTTCTATTGTTTTCTTTCTTTCTTTCTTGAGGCATGCATGAGGCACATGAGTCATACACATAACATGCCTCAGAGGCATTTGTACCTCCAACTTATGCTGCAGGACATCTTGAGTGTACCTTGCCTGGAGGCATGCCTCAAATGCCTTTTAAAACATTGCTTTGGACATGTTTTTGTCAAACATCTCATTCATACAAGAGTAATTATTGTAGGGAGAAAGAGGACAAGAACAAAAAGGTGAATTTCCTACAAGCAAGTGGACTGATGCAAAATATACAATCTTGGACTTCCTTAAGAAGATTGATCAAATTCAGTTATTGAAAGACTAGTAAGTTTCTTTGTCTATTGGGTCATTTTGAGCATTTGTGGTAATGATGGCCCTCTTTAGTAATTTGTCCAGCAAACTAATTAAATGCCACATAACCATCACATACTACTGTCTTTTAAAATTCATCATAAAACTAAGATTATATATCTGCTCTTTTATAAGCCCAAGCTTGGCACCATAAAGTGGTCTTTGGTTTCTGTTTTCTCTAATGCAAGCAAAGTTCCCTTCAAAAACTATTAGAGTTTTTGCTTTAGATGTTTTCCACTTGTTTTCTTCTTTCAGGTATGTCCTTGAGCTTGAATCTTCTTGGGCAGCTCTCTCATTGAGGCTGCTTTAGAAGTCTATCATCCTGATCATCAATATCTCATCTTCAACAACTCTCTGGCTTGGGTAAGAGGTGACTTTTGGCCCAAGTCAGGTTCCTTGCAGCTTCAAATGCCACTTCTTATTGAGAGAACTCACACAGACACATACACAGAACTAAGGTGGATATTCGTCTTTATTTTCTAGTTTATCACTTCCCAGCAAAATGTGCTGACCTCAGGTGGAGTAGGAATGAAGGAGCCATGAGATTCAAAAGGACCAACTTAGTTGTTAGTTCTCATGTTGCAAAGGGCAATAAAAATCTCTAAATAAAAAATCCAGGACAGATAATACCAAAATTTTATTCACTCATACTGCTTTTGAAGCCACAGTTGGGTTGCTCCATTGCGACTAGGGTGACCAGGGTTCAAATCTTGGAAACAGCCTCTCTGTATGTGCAGGGGTAAGGCTGTGTACATCTGTCCCTCCCCAGACCCCGCATTGGCAGGAGCCTTGTGCACTGGGCTGCCCTGATTACTGCTTTTGAAGCCAAAGTTCCTAAAGAGACCATAAGGGACTCTAGTTGGTGAAAGAAGAGAAGTAGTGACTTTGGAAGAGATGTAGAAGAGTCTATGATATCTACAATAGAACAGAATACAGCTACATTGAAGGTCATCCTAGCATCTCACCTCACTCCTACAGATGAGCTGTGGGAGATTTTGGCAGGGGTTGGCACAGATTCTAGGATATCTATGATAGAGTGGAGTATTGCACCATCAGAGGTCATTCTAGTATTTCACCTTTCACCATTCTCCCATTAAGATGATTATATTTGATGAACCAAGAAAGATGAAGACAGATTGGTGACAGTGGATTTCAAGGGACGAACTAGGTATTTGGTTTATCATGTCTGTAGTCCTATGCCAATGGCTCTCACTTGTAAGAAAATAAAATTGCATATTGTAATTTAGAGTTTTCTTTTTTACCATTATTACATGTACACATGTATGTGTGTCCTAAATGTAATATTCTTATTTTCACATTCTCTTAAGTTCCTTTGATTATTTTCAAGTGATAATAGCTTATATATTCCTGAAATGTCTTAGCTAGGGGAGTATTTCCTGTATTGAAAATTTAGACCTTGGATATAGTTATTTTATTTCATATTTTATTGACCACATATGCAGTGCAGGCTTCAGAGTAAGATATTTTTAGCATTCTTTTAATTTTTTTTTCAGATTCTCCACATTTTAATTTCAGAACCATATGAAAAAAAAGGAAGGTCTTTTTAGGGGCCACCCTGGACTTTTTGAATTTCATTAATACCTCCAGCATTTAACATTGTTATGTATGTTGGACTTCAGGGAAAAAGAAGCCTGCTGGAACAGCTGAAGATATTCAAAAATACTTGGGCTGTGCAACCTCACTAACTGTCATGGTAGAATCTTTACATCTGCAAAAAAAAAATGTCTTTCCATTGTGGCCACTTGACTTACCTAGCTTGATTTTGGATGACAGGTGGGTGATCGCCACTTTACAGATATTGTCTATGGAAACCGGAATGGCTTCCTGACAATTCTAACGGAACCATTAACTCTTGCTGAGGAGCCTTTCATTGTTAAGCAGGTTCATATTCTTCAATTCTTTCTTTTTCAGAACCAAATAATTGAAATTTGTTCTGATGGTAGACTTGTTGTCTTTCAACCAAAAGATCCAAGCTAAAATCCTTTTATTTATGGTTTATCCATCCAAAAAATACATTTTGTTTTGCAAAATTTCATTAAAAATAACACCTGAACACCTTGAAGTTTGCAAAATCAGTCATGGTTCTACTTTTAGGTAAGATATAATAATAAATAATATAATGAGGCTTGCAAAAAAAAAATCAACCAAAAGATTCAAGTTAAAATGTTATTTAGCAATAAAAGTGATACAGAGGTGAGGGTGAGTAAAATCTTGGAACCTTTTTCCCTAGGGGAGAAGAATTTGCAAGGAGAGCATTCAGAGAGGTGGAAGAAGAGGGAAATAAGGGGGAGGAAAGGAAAACCAAAGAGCAGGAAGCAACTCAAGGAAGCTATTGGAGGTTTGAATGAATAGGACAAAAAGGATGAGCATTTGTTCCTAGAATATAGGAGGCTTAAGAGTAGAAATCTGCCGAATTAAAAAAATATAAAAGAAAAGTAGTTTCTTGAAGAGAGAAGGAAGAGAGGAGGAGAAGAAGAGAAGAAGAGAAGTTGAAAAGAAAAGAGAGCAATAATCTAGTCGCCCCCCCTTCACTTATTATTTATACTAAAATAATAGAATAGTACAAAGACAACTATGCCCTTATAGGGCCGCAAAACATAAAACAGCATATATAACACTTAAAAACATAATAAAATTTGGACTCACATAACTGTTATGGTCCCCACCTCCTATCTAACAACTAATATAAAACATCTACTCAGAAAAACATCATAAAACTAATTAATCTTCAACACTCCCCCTTAAGTTGGGAGTAAATGTCACACATTCCCAACTTGCGTAGATCATGTTCAAGCTTGTTCTTTGCCACCCCTTTAGTAAGAACATCAGCCAGTTGCAACTCTAAAGAGACATAAGGCAAACAAACTTCTCCGGTTGTTACCCTTTCTCTTATAAAGTGTCTATCAACTTCAATGTGTTTTGTTCCATCATGCTGAATTGGATTGTGGGCAATATTGATTGCAGCCTGATTGTCACAGTATAACATCATAGGTTCCTCTGCCTTCACCCCAATCTCACTCACAAGAGATCTAACCCAAAGAAGTTCTGAGACACCATGAGCCATGGATCTATACTCAGCATCTACACTTGACCTTGCTACAATTGCTTGCTTCTTACTCTTCCAGGAGATTAAGTTTCCACGTATAAAAGTACACTCCTGATGTAGACCTCTTGTCATCTAAGCATCCTGCCCAGTCTGCATCTGTATAGGATTCTAGCTTCAGATTCTCATGATTTGAGAAAAGAATGCCTCTAACAGGGTGCTTTTTTAGATATGCAAGTATTCTCTCAATAGCTTCCCAGTGCTGAACCCGAGGTGCATGCATGTACTGGCTCACAACACTGACAGCATAAGAAATATCTGGTCGTGTCTTACACAAATACAGTAGTCGGACCACCATTCTTTGATATCTCCCCACATCCTTTACCAACTCACCATCCACATCATTAATTCTGTGATTTGGGTCAATAGGAGTGTCTGTTGGTTTGGTCCCTAGCTTTCCAGTCTCCCGCATTAGGTCAAGTACATACTTTCTCTATGAAATGAAGATCCCATGCTTGGATCTTGCAACTTCAATCCCTAAGAAGTATTTGAGCTCACCAAGATCTTTGATCACAAATTATTGCTGCAATGATTTTTTGAGATCATCAATCTCCTCTAGATCATTTCCTGTCACCATTATATCATCCACATACACAATCAAAATTGACACCAGAGCATCTCTCCTCTTCACAAAGAGGGTGTGATCAAACTGTGTTTGTGTGTATCTAAAAACGGATGAGTGCCCCTCTGAACCTGTTAAACCAAGCCCTAGGTGACTATTTCAGTCCATATAGAGATTTTCTGAGTCTGCACACCTTTCATTTACCAACATTTTCATAAAAGCCTGTTGGAATGTCCATATATACCTCCTCTTGTAAATCACCATTGAGAAAAGCATTTTTTACATCAATCTGGAACAAGGGCCATGAATAGGTGGCTGCTAGAGATGAAAGGATACGAATTGAACTCATCTTAGCTACTGGTGCAAAGGTTTCCAGATAATCAACACCATAGGTCTGAGTATACCCTTTGCTACCAACCTTGCCTTGTACCTCTCTATCTTGCCATCGGCCTTATAATTCACTGTGAATACCCATCTACATCCGACTATCTCCTTGTTTAGGAGAAGATCAACTATTTCCCAAATTTGGTTTTTGACTAAAGCATCCATCTCATCTTGCATGGTTGTTTTCCACTCAAGTTTGGAGAGGGCCTCAGTAACATTCTTGGGGTATAGACACGGAATCTAGGGAAGAAAGAAAAGCACGGTAGGAGGGTGATAACGCACTGTAGGAAAGATGGTTTGAAATGCAGTGGACTGTACACTTTCTCTTCCCCTTACGAAGTGCAATGGGAAGATCAAGGTCAGTGGGATCAGTTGCAACAATGGTGTTTGGGACAAAAGCATTATCATCAGAAAACATAGCAGGCTCAGGCTCAAGAGGAATAACTGGAGTTGTATCTGCCGAATCTGGAGTTTCAGAAGGACTGACAGAGAGTGGTGTGGGTTGAGGATGTGTGGAGTCAACCATCATCTGCCGGCACTGATATTTTTGTGAGGCTGCCTGAAGTGGCTCAAGCAATGAAACTGGAGGTGCAAGTGTTGGCTGAACTGATGTAGATGCTGGCTGAACTGATGGAGGCACCATAGAAACAGGAAGAGTAACAGATAGTGAGTTCTCCTCCCCAAAACTCTCCCCCTGAGGAGAACCACTCGAGAAGAAGAATGTGTATTCAAAGAAGGTAACATCCATAGTGACAAATCTGCTCCTCGACATTGGGTCATAACAGCAATATCCCTTTTGGTTCTGAGCATACCCAAGAAAAACACATTTCTTGGCCTTAGGATCCAATTTCTTGCGATGAGGGTCAAGAATGTGAATAAAAGAAACACAATCAAAAACCCTTAGAGGTATATGAAATATCTTTCCATCTGGAAAAAGAAGGCTAAATGGCACCTTAAACCCCAAAGTTCGTGAAGGAACACAGATAGTCCAACCTACTACTCCGCTTGGGCTGTCATTCCTAGTTAAAGAGATTTGGAGCAAACCCATTCCTCCTCGGGTTGGTAGTTTTTGTGGGGAAATTCTCGTGGAAAGAGTTAACATAAATGACTTGTTTCAAAGAAAGGCCCAACTGTTGTTTACTTCCCAGTAGGTGTATTCTTTGCAAAGCTGATGGGGAAACAGGTTATCATATTATGGTTACTTGTCCAGTTACTAAAACTGTTTGAGTGGGTGTTTTCCCTTTTTGGGTATACTTGAAATCCCCCCGTGAGTGTGCAATGCTTGTTCTCTCCTTCTTTCTTTAATTGGCCTAAGAGAAGGGGGAAGATTATGTGGAGAAGCATTAGGGCTGCAGTGTGCTAGTCAATATGGGAAGAAAGAAATTCACGAATTTTTTCAGATAAGGAAAGAACCACAAAAAACCTAACAGATTTGATACTTTCAAGGGTTGCTCATTGGCTGAAATCAATGGAGATATTCTCTGAATTCTCTATGGCAGACATGCTGAGAAAGTGGAAAGAGGTTGCTATTGCTGCTATGTATAAAAGGAACTATAGTCCCACTTAGACCCCCCCCTCCGCCGGATTCATAAAACTAAATTTTGATGGATGTAGCTTAAGGAATCCAGGGCCTTCTGGGATAGGGGATGTTTTCAGGAATGAGGAGGAGTATATTACTGCCATGTTCTTTGGGCCAATTGGAGAGGGTGACTCTCTTAGGGCTGAAATTCTAGCAGTTCTTGAAGGAATCCAAAGAGCAAGAGATTTAAGCATTAGATGCTTAGTGATTGAGGGGGGCTTGAAGGTGATGATTAGGTGGCTGAAAGGAGATATCAATGGCTTGTGGAGCTATAACAATGAGAAAAAAAATTTAATTGGTTGTGTAAGGACTTAGAGGTGCAATACTGTCGGGTGAAGAGAAGTGCTAACTCAATGGCTGATGGGTTAGCTAAGCAAGGGGTGGCTAAGGATTCTTTGTTTTGGGCACATTTTTAGTATTTTSTTGCCATTTTGATGTTGGGGAGTTAAGATAGTTTACCTCCCCATTTTTCGTAAGTAATTTTCACAAGTATAATTTATTAATAAAGATTTCTGTTATCGATTA